TATCCCGACAGGCTAAGCCAAACATCCCCACTTCAGTCGCCGTCAAGGTCGCTACGAACATCTCCGCTGCCACCGCCACCTCTCGCTCTGCCGCCTACCCATTTCACCGCCAAAGATGGAAACACCAATCAACCCAGGTATTAAATTACCTAAAAAATGTTTAAGCTTAATTAATAGTTTAGTAAATTTGTTCGTTTATAAATATGAAATCAGTAATAAATAGATACAAGATATTTAATTTATTTAAAAAAAATATTTATATGATCAATAACAGAATTCAGACTGAGGTAGAGAAGAAAAGCATTGTGTACAACAAGACGGTCGAGAAGCCGGTGAAGTCTGATCGGCCGTTGGAGTATGGCTCGGGAAAGTCACACGAAAAACAGAAGACAGCGGAGTCTATAAACCTCGCCGGACATAACGTCGGCGCAGTCATGGAAATAGATAAGTTATCGGCCAGCCACCGTTTGGGCGGAGAAACAGTAAGAAAGAACAAAACAGAAGGCGGCGACGGCGGCCGGGATGGAAATGAGGAGAAGAAAAAGAAGGAAAAGAAGGACAAGAAAAAGAAGAAAGTGCCGATGACCGCATTTATGAACAGCAATTTTCAGAGTGTAAACAATTCGGTTCTGTACGACTCGTCGTGTAACCACCGCGATCCCGGCCTGCATCTTAAGTTTGCCGATGCGGCGGACGGCGACGGAGCCGCTGTTGATGGCCGTAAGAACTACAAGGCGTAGAGATGATGGCTTGTGAAGTATTTAATTATAAGAAATAAGCCATTTTCTTGGCGTTTAAAAAAAAAAAAGAAAGAAGAAAAGCCATTTACTTGGACTCTTACTTAAGATTATAATCGATATCAATAAAAATATAAATTCAATATTTATTTGATCTTTGAATGCTATAGTCTTTAATTTCTTAATTTCTATATTCTTTCATAATTCATTTAAATTTATTACGTTCTTTGATGGATCAATGCTAAATTTGTATTATTGGAAACTTTGTTGTGTTAATCAGAATAAACTCTAATATAAGCATGAAGTCTAACACATAACTATTCTAAATTAGAGTAATATTTTTGCAAGAATTTGAACTTGAAACGGATATTATGGACACACATAAATTGACTTGGATTTCAAACGACAAAATCAAACTTTCATTAAGCATAAATTGGTGACACCGACCTAAGTTAATTAGGTAAGTGACCTAAGTTAATGATGGTGCATGCCTTGTGACCTCGGCATGTATCGTAATATTTTTATGCTATGTTCATGTGCTTTATGTATTGAAATGTGATGTTATACTATGTATGCATGTGATGTTCATTATATCATGTTATGACTAAATAAAATGTTACGTAAAGATTATGTGATGTTTACCATGTATACATAATGCATGTATGGAATATGTCATGGATGAAATGGGAAAAAGAATGACGTTAATGCTATGTTTTGAATGTAAATCATAGGGACCTTAGGCATGTATGTGTGTCATGTACATTGGGATACTTCACCGTTATGTTATGCTTGTATAGATGCGTACCTTCGATATTTATGTTTGTCATGATATCATGCAGGTCTTTCCTTTTCCGTAGTGATCGACGACATGTAACATGTTAAGACCGACCATGCCAGGCCCAGGAGGTACGTATACGATCCCATTTGGTGGGTCCATGTGCACGTACATGAGCCGTATGTTGAGAAGTACTACACGTCCAACCTTGTCCGAAACTAGAAAGAGTCCAAGGTCATGTGACAACTTTAAGATAGGTCACAATCATGTTATGTGTGTGATTGCATTGCTGACCCTAAGAATAGGGTGACTTACTATGTATTTCATAAAATACTCAAGTCACGTGCTACTCTTATATTTTTCAGGTAAAGGTAAAGCTCCCCGATGACGGTGAACACTGGAAAGGCCAAAGAAGTCAAGATAGATCATATGATAGGGCAGTAACATTGCAATTGATAGGTGTTTAATTCTAATTTATTTCAAAAGTATTTATTATTAGAATTCGATATGTGTTTACAGCATGCATGTTGCAACGTTACTAATTTAGAGTAAGAAAAATTAAAGGCATTAGACTTAGAGTTGCACTCTTATGCACCATATGATAAGTTGTGTCTATGTGTATAATCATTGTA